TCTGGCTTAACGTATCTTTTATTTAAGGGTCTAAACGAAACTAAAACCAATAATCTTCTTCCGATTCTTTCTTTAAACAAATGAAATTTAAGTCAAAATTCTACAGCGTTTATAATACCTGATCCATAAATAACTTAATTAATTAATTTTCGCAATCTACAGTTTTCTTGTAATCATTTCTCAATCTACAATCTGTTATTAGTTCCAGTGTTTCGGCAAAAGTTATAACAAGAGATAATTTCTGTAGACAGTTGATCTCACTCAAAAGAGATATAAGTTAACTTGCATCCCTGTTTTTGTTACAAAAAGAAAATAAGTAAACTTTTAAGTTATAAGTTAAACTTAAGTTTACAAACTTGTAATAAATAAAAATAAACTTTTATATCTTTTATTTTATAATTTGGCAGTCATTTTTCTCAAAATAAAATTTGTTGACTTACATCTCTCTTGAATTAAAGCCCTCAATTAAGTAATGCCATAAGTCACGAATATGAAGGTGTCGCTATACAAGTTCGCGTAAAGAAATAACATTTTAAAACAACATTGATGGTTTACGTGAGAAACTACTTCCATTAATTAATCTAATTGTTTCCAGATGTTATCATAATTCCTTTCCCTTCTTTGCTCTCAATTTTTATAACTTTAATGTATTGCATATTCACATACGTTCGTGCGCAACACGCATTATTAAAAAATTCAAGTTATTCAAATCTATATGTATTTCATATTTTCTTTTTACCATCATTATTGTATGTGTCCGCGATAGAGGAAATAAAAGATTTAATATAATTAACAGAACGCTAAAAATGTGGGAAAAAATCATTTTGAAGGAACGAATTGTATACAAACCGGTAACTGTAATAAGAAGGAACCGTAACTTAAAGGTCTAATTTCTTGGCCAATGAAAAAACTGAGATCAAAATCGAAACCGGAAGTTATCTTATTAAACCGCAACCGTACTGGAATATCATTAAGGTCCCTCTTTATTGTAAATATTTCAAGAAATATGTACGCCAAGAATCAATCTACAATAACTGGCTGACTTATGACATTATGAATAGATGTTAAAGCCACATGACAAACTACAATTTAATTAAATTGTTTCATTAACGTAAAGAATGCTAAATATAATTCACATATATAACGCGAATAAATATTTACAGTTCGTGCAACTGTTCCCGTATCATTTAATATCACTGGAAGAATAACGTACGACAATGATACTACCACAATGGAGAAGGAACAATGATTTGTTCTTATACCAATGATAACCTACTTAAACAGTTAATAACTGACAGAATAGCGAAGCGGTTTTCTTTACAATCGACAGTGCAGTATTGTTTATTACATTGGGTCCGGACGAGCATGGGTAATGCAAAAGTTATCGAATCGTGTACCATTCAGAATTAGGATTAAAAATCGTATTATCGAACTTGTCTTGGCGCCCAATTCTGGTCTATCAAGATTTAAAGTTTTAAAAAGTGTTCGGGCGCCGCAACAACTCGCAAGTCTTTCACGCTGCATAACTTTATAAATAATATTCATACAGAATATTTAGGTATGTACTACGTGGCAAATTATACGTTCGATCTCATTCGATCAAGTCCGACTTGAATTTATAATATAATTCTCACAATTACCTACATATCCCTAATAACGTTACAAGTGTTTTTAAGCAACTGTTCTTATATAATCTTCGAAATATTAATACTAAAAAATTTTGAGGAATGTATGTCCTAGACCTAACGTACCACCCGCTAATGATAGATTTCTAAGATTATTTTGAGACGAAAATCCTAACGATGCGAGCGTGTGCTCAAGTCGCCAACGTCGCTTAACTTTAACCTCGGCTTAAGTCACTCTCTGTCTCTTTCCAAGAGAAACAGAAAGAGGCGAAGAGCGAATTTGAGCCGCAGTTAAAATTCCGTGTCGTTGGTGCAACCGAGCCTTACCAAACAAATTGAACGAAAAGAGTTCAAATCCAACCACGAAAGTGGCAACCACCAAGAATATCCCACAGACTTCTATATACTACTAGACTGGCACCTTCGAGCTGAGAAGTGAGGCAAGAGTTCCGCCATGTCTTGTTAAAATATTATTAAATAAAGTAGTATGCGTGCATCGGTGTGTCACTGACAGTACATACTGATATTTTGCATACGTATTAGCTGATCTGGTGCGCTTGAAAGTATCTTCACTACTGTGCAATGTGACACATCTGAGCGCGCGTTTCGAACAACTTGATTCGTCAACTTTGAACACTTCTCTATGATGGGTTTTATAGGACCACCTTGGTATTAGAATTTTCGTCTCAAAATGCTCTCAGAAATCTGTCGTTAGCGGGTGGTACGTTAAGCCTGGGACACCTTGAAAATAGAATAAATATAATTAAAATGATTCACATAAAAATCTATCAAGTGTAAGAAGAATTTCACTCGCTCGGATATCGAATATCATGGGTGTCTTCTGTGTCCATTGTAAGACTCCGTCTCCGGTTTGTACGCCGAATTAACTGGATTAACCGAATTAATAGCGTAGTTAATGAGCTCTTTTTACTGTTTGACGTCCAGTTTTACACGGGGGGAGGAAAAAGAATCCTATTTACGAAAGCTAAACGCGAAGATAACGAAGTGGGATATTTGAATGAATATTTTCTGACTGGAAATATACATATGATTAAAAGCGATTAAAAGAACATGTGAGGCTACCGCGAACTGACCGTGAGTACTTGGTAAATAAGTCTATCGTTAGGCAACGTTAAGTGGCTTCGTAAAAACTTAATGCGCTTGACCCCGATAATGCTTGTCAAATTTTACGCATATTAAGGATTCCTAGAAATTCTCAACATCTTCGCCGCTGAAGCGCGTTCTTTTTTGCAATTTTGAAAAAATTTATCTGACAAACAGTCTCTGCGCAAGCAAAGATAGTGTATGTATCGTGTCCGCGCTGTGCCGCAGTCGTTAACTGAAATCATGCCATTCGACTCGTATGTCAATCGATATAACAAAGCTCGGTATCACGCGAAGATAAAGATGTGTGACTTCCTTTCGATAACAGAAACGTCAATTTCAAATTTAAGATACCGTTCTTGCAGTTGCGCAATCTAAAGCCTGGCGATATCACCGGAAACAACGCGAAACGATTGAACCGAACGTTTTAATCGATGTAAATCAGGTGAGATTTATTAACGAGTCACGCTTGCTACCTTTGAGGCGCACGGTTATACGATACGACTGCGTGGGACAGAGACACGTACACAGTACACGCACATTGTCATACAAGCGCGCGCGCGCACGCGTCCTTGCACACGCTTGTGCGTTGCGCGATGATGGACACGTTTGTATGGTAATCTGGAACCACAGATTGTACACAATTACGCGCGTAATGAGAAAATTATAATATGGCTGCTACAGGGGCCGCGCGCTATCATTGTCACACGATACAATACAAAGGTCAAAAATTATTCGCTACTTTATGATCGGACGAGTCGTAAATATGCCACGAAGCGTCGCGGATAAATCGTACGTAACGATTTACGCGTTTCTCAACGATGCTAAATAGGGAAACACGTTCTACGTTTGCATTACTCGATACTTATCTTATGATTCATGTTGCGCGCAGATAACCAAGTTATTTTTTGTTAACAGCGGAAGCCGCGAACCTTCGCAAAGCCATTTGTAAAAAGGAGGCTGAATTGAATTGTTTATTCTACTCAATTCGTCGCGAACAATTCCAAACTAATGACTCAGTGACTCGGGTGTTTCGCTATCGCTGTCTACTCTCGATATCGCTTTATCGTGACTCATTTTTAACAGGCGAGTATACAAATTCGTCACAACTGACACAATAACTGCCGCCTTATTTATTAATCATGTTCATAAGCGCGATAATGTTTTTTTTTCAACATTTTATAGACTCATAAAAAATGCCTGCGATCGATACATGCATACGCGTGTTTCGTTTAATCAAGAGAAAGAAGCGAGAAGATAGAATCAAATCTTTCGTTTACATCTTTCGTAATCTGCGCATCTCGCAGGCTCGATTACCTCAGATGAACTTGCGATTTAAAGTACGGATTTACGATTGGAATTTATCCGTACCAAATCGAATTTATGAATAATCGAGACACTCCTTTCTTTTTGGCGATTCTCCGAACATATCTGATTCACTACGTGAATCAGAATCGCTGTAGATCTCGCAGGTACATACGCCCGGAAAGCAGAGTCTTTCCATCGTGTATCAGACGCAGGCGATAAGAATCGTTGAAATATCGGGTCATCCAATACGGACATATAAAACTCTTAAATCCCGTAATTAATTATATCATTTCGTATTATCCATCGATATATCTGCGAGCTTAGGAGACACAATTTTTAATCCCGGAAAATTGCTTTATAAAATACCCTATCAATTGAGCCTCTCAGTCTTCGTCAAAGCCGCAAAGCCTTCCACGCATCGTATGTCTTTAGAATAATAATAAATCGGTTCAACAACATAGATTGGTTTAGTGATACAGTAGAGAATGTAAATCACTACGACACGAATTGTATTAAATGATTCTCGACATTTTATAAATTAAAAAGTGAATCAGACAATGATTTTTTTTGGGCGGTACGCATCGCATCGCTTCGCCTTGTTCCACTTGCAAAGCATCGTAGCAACGTATACAAAGTCTACCATATAAATGGTGGCTCGCGAGTTTTGCGGAAATTTTAAATAGGGTTATTATTCCAAGCGTACATTCAAATTTCAAATGAATGTCGCCTACTTAACGCAGAGTTACGGTAAACCCCGAGCTTACTAAGAACAGACGCACTATGGGAGTCTCCAAAAACTACAAAGACTTGCGACGCAATTGTTACAGCAAGACGTCGATTATCGAGACAAATCGAGAAACTAATACATCGATTATGGATTGTCCGCAGAAAATCTCAAAAAAAAAAAAATGTAATCCACGTGGAATATAATTTGAAGGTAAACATCATAAAGATAAAAATAGATGTCCAGACAATTGACGTCCCTATGTGTATGTACGCAGATGTATCGGCCCGTCTAGTATTAATATTAAGTTAAGTACAGCGCGCAAGTACAATTTCGGTAAATCGGCGAATGTATACAATGTTATTATCGTAAAAATATATAAATTTATCAAGAGCTAGGTCACTAGCGATTTTGCGTTTTGCTCGGAATCGGATAAAGGGTACATGCGAGAATTATGCCTGTGCGTATCTATACAAAAGTCAAATGTACATATATGATACAGAATAAATTTGCGACAAGTTGACTTTAATCGTGCAACGTGTACGTCCGTGGAGGAATGAGAATATATTTATCCGTGAGGAATGGGAATATATTTATCCGCGGTTTGATCCCAGACGGTTATCATAGCAAAACCACGCTCTTCCGGTTCCCGTATCTGGCGATGCGTTTAATTGCCGAGTGCACGATAAAAATAGTGTATTCGCGCGCATCAATCCGACTCGGTTTTAACCGTAGAATGAATTTCCGTATAGCGACGCATGGAACGATGAAATGTGGTACCGCTATCGGAAAAGAACAATACCGTCGACCTGTACATTTAATCGCGACTAGTTTTACGTATTAATTAACTTATCATGGTAGAACCTCTCTATTCGGAAATATCTCCCCTGCATCCCCACTTTTGTTCTAATACATGTACGCGGATGAAAATGTTGTGCGCTCTATCTTCCATTCGCTCTCTCGCTTTACGCATGCTAATGAGATCACTTAGCGAAGATGCGTGATGGAAGAATAGTGTAGAATAAGGATTCTAGTTTACGAGTTGTCGAAAAAAAAAAACAAGCTTTATAGACTACCTAGACCCATATCGAAACGGACAAGTGAACCATGTCGCCGTATTTAAGAAAGAGTGCAATGAGAGTGCAATGCACTTGAACGGAAATTATAAATTAATGATTTTAATTTTAAGCATGTAGCACTTATTGTAGAGAAACAAAAACTAAGCTTTGAAAATTGTAAATCCTGCACTATGATTTCAAGATACATTAATATTTAGCGATATTTAGTTGTAGAAAATTTGGATGACTTGTTGCCCATCTATGAATAATAAAATACTGCTAAAGATTGACCGTCTCATGGAAGTTTGCGTGACCGCCAAAATTTGGACAGTTAGCTTATATTAAGTTTCATGATTATTATATATGTGCTCGTCTAGAAAGCATATACAAAGCATACTGTAACATAATCTGTATAACAAAGATAATGATTGGACAAAGAGAATGAAATTGATCTATCATCGTATTTCCAGCTAATTTAGATATCTACAGGTATCTGTGTGACGATTGGCGATGGCACAAAGAAACGCTGCTCTAGACGTCATTGCATGCGAGAACGTTTAGTTATAATCGTAAGACCGTTAGCAAATCGACCAATCAAGCATCCTTGCGTTACGAAAAGGCTTGACTGGTCGATTTGCTTACAGTCTTACGATTACTACAACTTTTCCATGTACAACGACCTTCGTGTACAATGAGCCAAATATCCGAGTTCAAACCGAAAATCTTTGGCCGGGTACATTCATAGTCGGATCTTATATTTAAGACAGTCTTGGATTTATCTGAAGATGCTGTATGAAACATTTTATTGGTTCCAATATCTAAAGATGATCTTAAGACTGTCTTAATGTAAGATCTGGCTATGAATGCCGGCCTTTGTTTATTCAATCGCGATCTCTCGGAAGGCAATAACAAACCACCGAGAGTATCTTGCCCGAAACCCCTCTGTTGAGTCGTTCAGATTCGGCGTGAAATTGTAGGTCCCATATCTGTTGCACAGATACAGGCAGAGGGGACGTGACGCTCAGCACGGCGACTTGACGAAGGTGTGTCCGTAATCTTGTTAACAGATGTAGCGTTTTTCGTAGGTAGATAAAGCGGGTCAAACTAAACAGAAAGGTCCTCTCCGTTTTGTTACCAAATTCACGTTCATTCGCAAAGTATTAATTCATCTCTCATGAATTATTGCAAAAGTTGCAAAACAACAAGAGGATTTTTCTGTTTTAATCCGCTCCACCTGCCCTTGAGCTCTGTTACATGCCATATTTCTGTTATCAGATACCCTGAGCAGGACTCAGGTTTAAGAATCTATGACTTTTCTTTGAAAAACCTTTTTAACAGAGTCACGTCAGTGACAATAATTAAAATAAATTAAATATTAGCTTTCTTAAATATGGCTGCTATTCTCACTGCTCTGCATTGAGCGCCAATTTTTCAACTAAATTTTCATAGGTGTTGATTATAAGTAATCCATGCAAAAAGACTGCGTTCCACAAAAATATGCAGGGGAACTGTACAATATAAGGTAATAGAGTAAAGAGGTTCCACCGTATCGTACAAATAAATAACTTTCACAAAAACATTGCACCATATTGAGCACACTCAATGGAAATAATACGTGTCGAACGGTTCTCTTACTGGCTGACGCCGTCAACGTATCGCATGATCAATTCGACCAATTTTATTTTCTCACGAAATCTCTGATTTTCAAGTTTCTATGTATACATTTTACCGCACGTGCCACCCAACAGTTTATTGCGAGGCCCGACGTGGGGACGAAATTAACGATTTTCCTTGACGATTTTACATTACGTAAAACATGAAAGCGAAGAGCCAGTAAAACTGGACGAATTGGTCCGTAATAAGTCTAGAACGCGCGCCGATCAATCGCATACAGAGCGAGAAAGATACTATTTCGTTTATCGCGTGATAAGTTTTTCAAGTGTGTTGATTGCAGTGAGCGAATTTGTAGGATCTGTTAAATCCCAAGAATTCCCTGTCCCGGCCACTTGGCACGCTTGAAAATATATCATAAATGAAATAACAAGATCTAGAGTCTTTCGAGTAAGAGACTTGGACATCACGTAGACAAATTTTGATTGATCCGCTATGTTGCAAATTAATTAAAAGAAGAAAGTTGTATCTCACCTGCTATTATTTATCTTGCAAATTTACTATAGTAACGTAATAATACGTGTATACGTTGAGTGGAATTCATTTCTTTATTAATAAACCGCGTGCTAAACTTGAACGCTTCTAAATGTATATCATAGTTGGCCTGAGATTGACGATGTCCAAACTCTTAGGCCCGTATTCTGAATCGTCTTTTATCGCTTCTAAAAGTGGCTGGTAGCCAATCAGAAGACTTATTAACTCGCATTAAGGGCCAGCTTCGCAAACCTCGGTTAACCGCTAACCGAAGGTTAATTGATTCTCCGTCTCTTCTTAGATAACAAGATGGAAAAAGATAGGGAGTTGGCTGAACTCTGCTTAACAGTTAACCGATGTTTGCAAAATTGGTCCTTGGAGACTTTATCGATAAAAGAGGGTCAGGATACGGACGTTACTCGACGAACTCTACAACTTTTTTTACTTAAAATTCACTCTGAAAATCGTGCAATTGTGGGGCACACAAGGCACTTCGAAGAATTTTATGAAATATTTCCATTTTTCCAAGAATTTTACGAAATATTTCCATATTCCCACACACTTGGTATTTTTAAAGAAATTTAATTTCACTACTAGAATGTACGATAAAATTTCCAAACACTCTCATAAAAGTCTTCGAAATGCCACGTTGTCCCGCGACCTTCGGGGTAAACTTTAAGAGACAATTCTCTCCGTATATCCCAAACGAGGTGTTCCAAGCTTCATACAATTCCGCAAAACAGCAAGATCCTTCCATTCTGGAATTTCCCCTCGGTCTCCCTCTCATTCTAACGGTGTGCGCAAAATAAGAGTGCCATTGCGTGTTACGGCAAAAGAATTGCAATTTACGGCAGGACGGTTGTTCCACAATAGAAAGGGAGGATTCAGTTTAGACTAGGGGAGGCTCCGTTGTATTCCCCGCCGAGTGTTAAACCGATCCCGACGTCGTGAAAGTTTTGTCGAATTTTAAAGCTCGGTGCCACAACCTTCGCCAGAGAACCGATGTCCAGTGAAAACAAAAAAAAACAATACTCGTTGGTAATTTGATTGTTATTCAATATCAACATTTTGATATAATTCAGTGGAAAGTAAAAATTCTACATTTTCTTTGTGAAACAACAATTTATACTCCCAGTATAATCCCGCGCCAAAATGTATCTTTTTCTTTGATTCAATTACAAGTTGAAAGACTCGCAATCACCAAGAGATCAAATAAAAAAAGGGGAGAAAGAGAGAGAGAGAGGAGAGACTCGGACGAAAAGAAAAATGCGATGATTAGAACACCTTGCGTACCTACGCGTACTTATCGATAAAAAAAAAAAGACGGAAACGCTGTCTCTATTTCTCTCAGTCTAGTTTGACACGTACGCAGGTACGCGGGAACGCGTACACGTGCGCGCACACACACGCGCAATCCTCAATATTTGACTTTTGCCTTGACTTCCTCGGCGACGCCGCCCCATTTGAGCTTATAAACACGCGAGCGCCACTGTATGAGGGGATCGAGGACAGCCTGAAGAAAGAGATACGGTCTCGTGATCTCGCTGAGTAACCAGCCGCATACGAACTCGAGTTTGTTGAAAGGCAGCGGGCCGTTTTGCACTAGGCACAGTAGCGTCCAGTCGAACATGAACCACAAGAGTATGTGTACTAGATAGAAAACTAGGGAGTCCCACTCGAAGAGCACGCTGGCCGCCCAGGAGGCGAAGCCGCCGAGGACGAGGCACTCGCTGAGCGGCTCGAGGACGATGGTGGGTGGGAGCATCGCCACCCTGAGCTTCGCCCAGCGTCGCAGCCGCGCCTGGAAGGAGTCGACCGCGCAGTGGCCGCTGTTCTGCAGCGCCGGCTGCGAGGAGATGGTGATGCGCCAGCCGCGGTCGGTGAAGGACTTGGCGTAGAAGAAGTCCTCGGCGAGGTAGATGCCGAACGCCCGCAGGCCGCCGACCTCGTCCAGCGTGGACTTCCTCAGGAGTGCGGACATGCCGGTGTGGCAGTTGACCCTGAGCATGTCCGCGGAGAGGTACATCCGCGAGAGCACCGTGCCGAAGAAGATCTTCTCGTACGCGGCGGCGAAGCCCTCGCGGTCGTAGGTGAACGGCATCTGGTGGACCAGAGCGACCCGGTCGGTCATATGCTGGACCATGTCCAGCAGCGTGTCCTCCTTCATGCGTATGCCGCTGTCGCTGATGAGCACCAGCTCGTACTTGGCGGCCTCGTACGCCGGCTGCATGTTGTTGATCTTCGGATTCACCCCCACCTTGGAGCCGCCGATGAAGAGCGTCGCCTCGACCTCCGGGTACTTCTCGACGAGCTTGCGCACCAGCATCAGCGCGGGATCGGACTCGTCCTCGACGCAGAACAGGAGCTCGTACCGCGGGTACTCCATGGTGAAGAAGGTCTCGAGGTTGCCGAAGAGGTTCGGGTCGACCCCCATGAGGGGCTTGATCACCGACACCCCCGGCAACGGTGTCTCGTAGCTCGGCGCCTGGTTCGTCTTCCGGTGCAGCTTCCAGTGGCCGGCGATTAACGCCAGCAGGTGTATTACCCACATAACCGACCAGAATATCATGAAGAATATCGCGAATCCGTAAAGTGTATATAGCTTGGAGTTCATTTTCCAAGGCGCGCGCGAGAGAGAGAGGAAAGATAGATAGATAGATTAGGGAGAGAGAGAGAGAGAGAGAGCGCGTGGACTTTAGGCCACCCCCTCCCCCCCCGCGGGATCTAGCGTGCCGGCGTGCCCGAGCCGGCGGCACCTCCCTCCGCCCTCCTGCCCCGCTTCCGTTCCGCTATTTCTCGTCTCGACCGGGCACCCTCGTGCGGACGCATCACGGGGGAGAGTCACGCTCCGCCGCCCCTACTCACCGGTTCCCCGGCACGGCGGCGGCGACGGCGGCGACGAGGAGCACCACGGCGACGATGACGGCAACGTGCTCGCCTCTGGCAACGCATTCACGCCTCTGACCCCGGCCCGCGCTGCGGCCGACGATAACCTCCTCCTCCTCGCTCGACTCGCGCGTCAACTACGCGGCCCGTCCGTGGTGCCGGGACCGCCTCGGCGACTTGCCTCGCGCTCCGGACGGGATTCCGTCTTGCAGCGGCCGCGACCGGGCCGCATCGTCGTCACCGACCGACTCGAGCTCGCGCCGGCCTCCCGACGGCGATGACGACGCGCGCTCACCGACTCGACCACCGGTCACCCCGAGTCCTCTGTCACTCCTCCGGGCGCCCGTCTCTCGTAACATCGACGCTCCTCCCTGCCAGGAACACTCGCGCGTCCGGCGAGCCGCGCACTGTCATACCTCCCGACGACCGGACCGGCTCTCGGGGCGCTCGTACCGAACTCGGCGACCGTACCTTCCTCCGTGCTCGCGGCCCTCGCGCTCACTCGCGCGCCTTCCGTCACGCGCGAATCGAACGAGGAACGCCAGAGGGCGGGGAGGGCGGGGGAAAGGGAGAGAGGGAGGGAGCGAAGCGGAACGATCTGTCTCACCGTGGCGGAATGTGGTGGAATGTCTCCCGACGTGACGCGCGCAGTGACGCGTCTCCCATCGACCATCTCCTCCCTCTCTTCTCGCCCTTACGAGCGGGGACCAACACCTCCGTTTCGTCACGGGTGATTCACGCGTCTGACTCGCGCGTCCCCTCGACGCGAGTATCGCCGCCTTCTCTCTCTCTCTCTCTCTCTCGGCGGAGGAAAAAAAAGCGCGCGCGCGCCGACGACCGGAGCCCGGCGGGAATCCGCGCGCTCCAGCTCTCGTTTTCAAGTGCCCGCCCCGGCGCGGCGAATATGTCCCCGCGGGATTCGCACCGTCGATTCTCGCACGATTCTCGCTCTCGGCGCACCGAAATATCTTTATCGCGTCGCGCCCGACCAACGAGCGCGTCTCGGTCGAGTTACCAGTTGCGAACGCGCCGCCTATATCTACTTCCGTTTTCCGGAACTTGCGACTCGCGCCTTTTTATCGCCGTCGATAAGATTTATTTGAAAAGAATTTCCCGCCCCCGATCTCGACGATACTCGTCAAAGCCACACTACCCCATACAACACAGATGGTTGCAGTTACATTGCAGAAACGTTGCAATCGTGCAGATTGCAGTGCAATCTTGCAGAGGCATTGCATTATAAAATTGCAAACTTTCGATAGCAATATTGCAGCAATGTTTGAAAAATAATAAAAATACTACATTTTCTATTTAAAAAATTTTTCTAATTACGAGAATTTTATAATGTTATTTTCGTTGATACCAATAATGCGCAAATTATTAAGTACTTGATCAGTGCGGTGTTGCTCGCAATCTCCGTCTATTTCAACGTTGCTGCAATCCGCCAGAAACGTTGCTGCAATATTACAATCTTGCAATGTAACATTTCTGCAATCTTCCTGCAATCTTTCTGTGCTGTGTGGGACCATACGTACAACTTCTCCCTCATCGTCTGCCCAGAACAATGTCGGATGCGCAGAAAGGGATCGACGCGAAACGAAACAAGCGATAGAGTGGACCTTCTAGTTAGGGCCTGATGCGTTACTTTAAGACCAAGATTTGAAACAAAACATTGTTTTAAGAGTACAAGACAGCCATTCTTCTCAGGCCCTAAGGCTGATATTACATTTGTCGCGCGACAAATTTTTCCAAGCGCGTTGATTAGCTGCAGGATAGAAAAGTCCCGGAGTATCTGGATATGGAGTATCTGGAAAATGGATCCACGGTCGGTCTCGCGCGCGCGGTTCTAGCTAGCTTATACTTGGCGCGAGACACCGGCCGTGTCTCGTGATACACGGAACGCTAAAGTGACAGTAACAAAGTTGTTTATTATTTCATCACATGCGACTTGAGAAAATATTAAGAGAATCAGGCTACTTATGTTCTGAATTTTTTAAAGAGAGGGTGTTTATTCGCCGTCGACGAGCCCGGGGCTTTCTTGTACTCGTAATAAACGGCATCGTCCGCTCCGGACATTGATACCATCGTGCCAGCTTTACGTACAATCTGAGAAAAAATTCATTATCAAATGAGATACGCATGTGTGACGAGTTGCAGTTAGCTTCAAGGATGTTGAGACAGTAGAGATGTTAAGTTGCTCGCGTACAATCGATTTCAAAAGTTTGTCGTCGCCATTTTTCGGTACACCGAGAAATTGAAAAAATTTTTTAGTAAACAAGAAAACGACTAAAGTTAAGCCAGGACCTTCTGAAGATATAACTTCAAATATAAACGAGAATGCCAAATCATACTTAGGTCCGGGCAGGCTGGAGGTAGCCTGATAATTTTTAATTTAATATGTAAATTCATGTACCGTATTTAAAAAATTAGTATATATAATTAGTTTTACGTTCTGCTTGCAAAATTTCATTTTTTTAAATGATTGTTCATTGAGATACAGTAATTTTTTTTCCGTAAGACTGTATGCAACTTTAATATTTAATTTTCTTAGCGCCAAGATTCCTAGACAGCCTCAAACTTTGGCTGAAGTTTTTAATAATATCGACAAAATTCATTTGGACTCGGAAGAGTTTTTCGTCTTATTAATCGCAATGCCCCAACATCCTTAAAAATTTTTTACTCTCCGTACAAATCGTGCTTTGTACACTCACCGGTCTTGGCCCTTCACCGGGTATTCTTTCTTCGTCCGCATCCGTGTCGCTAGCTGTTAATACTTGCTGCAACAATTGACCCTGTTCCTCACGATTTCCATACATTAGATCTGGCTCCTAGACAAAGTACAATCATAATCGTCCTTTATGATCGCAAAAAGATCACGCGCATAAATCTAAATGTCTTAAATTGTATAGAGGAAAGTCCCCTATTACGAGATAGGCTCCTAATATGAGGTAGCGGGGCCTCATAGGAAAAAATGTAAAAGCGTGCACAATAACATCATAAATTCGTGAAAATCTCGCAACAATTGCGCTAACCCAATTGTAAAGTAGAAATTCTTTTGCAAGATTTCCTAATCTTATATCTATAAATCTACGACTGGTTTTTAAATAATGCTGTTCATGTAGAAAGATAAAAAGAGAAAACACTACAGCACTAATTACTTGATTGACTGTGTCGTTACCTCGTCCATGCCGGCAAGTTTTGTAATGACTTTGTAGGAGTAACCTTGATTCACAAGAAACCGCTGACGCTTTCTCGAATAATTCATTTCCATCGTATCTTGCGATACGAGCGTATAAAAGAACGCGTTGTATTCCTCCGCAATTGCACCTGTGCAATGAAAGTTTTAGCACCAACTTGTGCGATTAATAAATAAGTAAATCGTACCTTTTTTAGCCCTAAGAATACGCCCCAATCGTTGCGCTTCTTGCCTTCTGGACCCACCATGGGATGAAATTTGAATCAAGACATTAGCTTCTGGTAAATCGAAGGAAGTGTCCGCCACTTTGCTAACAAATATCGTGTTTACTTTCATGTTAAATTTAAAATTTTGCAAAATCTGTATCCTTTCGCTCTGAAACAAGTTGAAATACATGAATTGTCGCGAGAAAAATGTAGATAGGTACTTACGAGGTATAATTTACTCGAAAAGTCATCACGGTTACATACGATCGGTGCTACTTACCTGACTAGTAGGGCCATAAATATATGGCTTGTTCATTTTAATAGCGTAGTGTTTCAATGCGAATACGTTGTCGGAGAAGACGATCGTTTTATCGCCGCGTCTCTCGTGATATCGAATTAAATATTGGCAACAACGGAATTTATTTGGATTCATCACGTACAGTAACTAAAATTATAAACAAGTACAGCGGAGAGGCTCAATGTGCATTAAAGCTATAAATTATGCAATAATAAAATCTAACCAGTTTCCTGCTCATCTTGCAAGCGAGATATTCTCTGTAAAATTCTGACGTCATGGGACACCAGACTTCTGCGCATTGTACTCTCGCGATAAATCCTCTCTTTTGCAATTCCAACCAGTTAGCTTCGTACAATTTGGGGCCAATTAAAAAATTCAGATCGGCAATTTTGTCATCCTCTCGCAAGAGCGTAGCCGTCAAACCCAACTTACAATGAGACTGCACGATCGTTAATACTCTACGGAACATTTTCGCGGGAATGGTGTGCACCTCTAAAATAAAATTCACAATTATCGCATGGGAACGGACACCGCTTTACTCGGTAATTCGAATAGTAGAAAAAATAAGTTTTACCATCCAAGACCATAATACCCCACTCCTGTTCTTGAAGCCAACGCATCGTCTGTTCAGCCTCCCACGAGCGTTTCTGAGTGTGCGTGATCATAGAGTATGTAGTTATCAATATTCCGCAGCCCATAGGCTTATCCTTCGCCTCGCTGGTAAAACGGCAAATCATCGAGTCGTCGGCGGTAGACCACATTTTAAACTGCTGCTTCCATTGTTCCACGGATACACCGGAGTTGCATAGCACTAGAGCGCGTTTACGTACTGTACAGCAGGCTGTCACTCCGACTAAACTTTTACCAGCACCTGCGTTAAAAAAAATTGTTCACAGAAACGCTCGAGCGAGCAACGAAATGCTCGAAATAGTTTTTCGGACTGGCCATCGAGTAAACTATTCCTCGGAGGAGAAAATTTTGGAGCTTGCCCAAGCTCATTGAAAGAGAAGGCAAGTGTTGCGGCCATTCCTGTCCATCGCCGTACAGTGGAATAAAAATTTCATTGAGCGCACTTACCGCAGGGTAAGACTATCACTCCAGATCTAGCCCGTCCATTGCCAAACATTTTCCGTAAGCTCTTTTCTTGATAAGGTCTTAATACAGCTGATGGCTTCAAGTCGATACTAACGGGACATCACATCACGAGATGTTACTTTTAACGTCACTTGGTTTGCATAACATTAATTTTTGAAATACCCTTTACCTCTCTTTTTACTTACTTTATATCAGGATTTACGCTATCATTGCGAAAATCGTATTCCGCCAGTAAAGGATGCTCCAATTCGATACAGCGTTTTTGTATCACTTCAATTTTTTCCTATTCCAACGTAACAGTACACGTAATTTTCACACATGTTATATCGAATTTTGTACAATGTATGAAAAATTGAACGTCATTAAGTCGGACATATCTACCTGATTCACTTCGAAACTGACTGTTTTCAGCTCTTGATCCTCTTCCTCGTCTTCGTCCTCCTTGTCGATCTTATCGTAAAAGGCAGTTATATCTTCTGGAACGGTAGCCGTTTCCGGCAATACTTGCTCAGGCTCAGTCTCTGGATTCGTTTTGCTAGGTACAGGTGTATTTACAGGTGCTTTTGATCCAAACTATAGTCCAACATAAAGGAACAGATCATACCTCTTATCAATAAACCTAAGTCTACGGAGGCCGTGCTCGTTTCGCACTCGCCCACTCCGAGGACGACCTGTCGCTCAGACAGGATAAGAGGGGAGGGGAATTTGTTTATTCGCTAGACAGCTTGTCTTCGGGGACGTGGCCACTTTGCATCCATAAGGTGGTCTACCAAACCATTGGGTGAGATGCCACGCATCGCTCTGGGACTCTACTCTATCATGTACAAAAGCTGCGCGATATCGTCAACGATATCAATAGTTGTCGGTAACCGTGTACGAAATAGAGTCCCTGGAGTTTTGATACTAGTATTATCTATTCCTACTTTATTCAATACAATCAAATAGGTAATCGACGGGGATTCCGAGCGCGGGCCTGGATAGGTCAATTGGAAGAGCATTTGGCTGGCAAGATCCCAGGTTTTCGGATCCTGGTCTAGTCCTAGCCAGTTTTTCTCGCCGAAAATTAAGAGGTAGCGCGTCTTAGTGCCTACCTCCCCGAAGATAAGACCTGACCAGTATCACAAGTGTTCCAACGAACCTGAGGAGCTTTCAATTTAGTTTGAACGCTCGTTTGAATAGCATCGGTTTCCGCATCGTCCACGAGCTTTCTCAATCGGCATTCTTGAATCACCGGGTCCTTTAGTAACCTTTGCAGCACTTCGGGAAATGGCGATTCGATAAAGTATTTATTGTGTTTTAATACGAGTTTGACCTACATGTAAAAATGCATGAGGCATGTTATTAAACTTATTTCTTCACAAAACGCCCGCGATAGAAGTTGAAAATCCAATTCTTCGCTAGTGGATAAAACATGGCAAAAATGTTTCAATGTTTCCGACCGTGAATTCCGGTCCTCTTCAAGCGTAGGGTAATCGCGCAACGATTCCAAATTCGGAATTCACGGTTTGAGCATTAAAGAAACAATTTTTCCAACACTTGCGAAAATTGCTGTTACTCACTTTTCCATAGGACAAGGTACACAGTTTGATAAATTCGATTATACCATCGGGAATACTAGTCTTACTCAATCTCTTTAAATATTCTATTATATCTTGCGTTTGTAGGCCCACACTAACCGCAGCGTAAAGCGAGTAAGCAGTCAGTTTGTACTGAAAAGAAAAAATAGATTGCCACACTATACATTGCTTGTCCGTTCTCCCTCGAGTAAAGTTTATATATAATTTTCTATTAGATGTTCAGTCTTACTTCGTGAATATGCTCTGGCCGACATACAGGCTCTGATATAGCTATTAAAAAATCATGAGCATGTTTGTACACAGGAGAGAAGGATTCCAAAAAGATATGTCCGTTCGGTGCCTGCAAAAGGTACTGATGAGCGTTTTGCGTAAGACAAAGTGTAATTGCATCCAAATTTTAGAGTTAGACTCATCCTTACCACCCACAATGGTCTAGACGAGCAATCGTTTTTTAAAATCATTTGCGAGCGATAATCTTTCGCTCCGTATTCATCCTCGATCGCGCACTCGTCTTGCTTCTCGACATCGTTTTTCGCCGCGTCCGGGACACCATCTGCCTCGTTACTGTCTATGGAATCGTCGTCGTACTCGTCGTACTCGTCCTTGCGCTTCTTCCATTTATCTTTATTAGTGCGAATAAAAGAAACGAGTAAATGTAAAAAGGCAATGTACAGCGCACCTTACAAACGTATGTGCTTTTTAGCACACATGTTATAATATGTTAACAGCACAATATTAAATATAAAAGTGCATCGTGCAATTGTGAATAATCGAGTAAAACAGAGAATGTAGAAAAATTGCACGACGACCAATGGCTGGGGCGAATTCTAGTTAAAGTTTAATCAATTACTGGCGTTAAATAATTCTTTACGCAAAATAGAAAAATTCGACAAGATGTATAGGTTATGTACTGTTATCTTTTTTGAAGCGTTTCGGCGGACCCATTGTATGGGGACACCGTAATTGAAAATTTTGGTTAATCGATTGGCTGAGGCTTCTTTTCCTTTTCCTCTTCTTCGATGTAGATGTTCCTTTACTCCACCTGACCCTTGTTAATTTATACAATCTCGCAGGCAAGATATTAAAACGTCGCCGAACACAATTTTACACACTAGAGCGTCTCTTTCTTTTCAATAAAAGTAGCGTCGGATTGCTTCATCGAATATTTAAATAAATTCCAAGTTCTGTTAACAAGCGTCTACGAAAAGCAATCAACGTAAAATATTATCGTCTCTATCGGAGAATTCGGAGACCAACTGGTAACTGGTTCAGTAAATCCATCGGTAATATCGGCTTTAAGGTGACTTTTCATGGACAGCAGGGCAGCATCAGCATTTTAGTAAGTTACTAAGATTTATTGGTAAGTTACTAAACTTCCTTAAGTCCTGTGTCCACGATCCAAGAAGTGTGTCCAAGTTCTAGTTCCGAGAAATGCGTAGCCAATCACCTTGCAGCTTTTATGGAATAGCTGCAGGTTAATTGGCTACACATTTCTCGAAACTAGAACTTGGACAAAGTCCTAGCATCGTGGACACAGGCCTTTAGGCCCGGTTTCACCAACGCGAGTTAATCTAATCGGTCGGTTAACTTAACAGGGTGCCAACATAAAACTTCTTTATTAACCTAGTTTCTTGGTTAATAAAGAAGTTTTATGTTGGCACCCTGTTAAGCGTCGTCTACAATAACCGGCGTAAGCGTAGAGTAAGAAGAAGTAAGAAAACCTAACCTTTACTTTTCAGTGTAAAAGCTAAAGAATAGACATAATTTTTTTAAATATTTGTAGCACTGGTCGAACTACGCTTTAATTCGCCGCGAGTAAGCGTCAGAGCTGAAGTAGGAGTAGGAAATGGAAATGATCCATTTCTTTACTCCTACTCTTACTTCTTACGCCAAGCTTACTCCACCTATTGTAGACGACGCTTTAAGTTAACCGACCGATTAGATTAACTCGCGTTGGTGAAACCGGGCCTAAGCCTTGTGTCCACGATCCAAGAACTGTGTCCAAATTCTAGTTCCGAGAAATGCGTAGCCAATCA